ATTTAGTGATCTGAATCTCTCGTCTGTGAAGTGAGAGATCTAGGTTTTAGGTCCTCCTCAGCCTGAGGAAGTTGTAACCTTCAGCTCTCTCATCCCAGGAGAGTGTTCTTACTGCCATGCTCTTGGCTGTTCTACGAAAAGTACTGTCCCAAGTCACTCTGTGGTCAGGAAAGTGAAACTCTTAGAGGCCAGAGGAGAGTAGGCAAGGAGGTCAGGGCTCTGCATCCTAGTGAAAAGGACGTGCAGCTGGAGGAAGGAGTCACAGGACTCTGACTCTTGAACTATTTCTGCTTTTAGCACAGTTGCCTAAGGTAAATTACAAAAACAGTCCTGGAAGAGATCTCCCTTCTAAGCATGTGAGTGCAGGAAAACATTTCACACTTTGAATATCAGTTTTATGGGGATACTGTTCTGAGGGAGGCATTTAAGTTCATACAGGACAGGGTTTTGGACCTACTGGTTTGTGAGCGTTTCCAACTGGCTTGCATTCTGGCCGTTTTCAGTAAGTTTCACTTTCATTTAAGTCCAGTGACTTACCTCTTCCCATGTACAGTGTGAATAGAAGTTAAATTAAACACTTAATACTAAAAAGAACATTCTTAGGGCAGGGAACAAATTTGAATGTTGCAGTGCAGATTTCCACAGTGCTGGAGTTCTTGTGTGCAGTGCCTGCCTGCTGATAAAATGACTAATGCTCCCATAGATTCTCAGTTAGTTTTTGTCGGTTACTGTATTTGCACTGACTTCAGTGGAATTAGCCAAATTCTGTCAGTCCAAGGAATTTAGTCCAGTGTTTTCCATGTGATAGAACGAAAAAATTTCACTAATGTTACATGACTCAAGACCCCTCTAAGTTTGGCTTGCTACATGTCTGTGCACTAACTTCTAGGAGCTTTCATTTCTTTGAGAGATAGGTTATAAAGCAACAATTTTTACTTCATGTTCGTGAGGGAGAAGGGAGAATTCTTTAAAATACTGGTTTATAAAATGCAGTAGGTTATTGTTTAGGTTTGCCAGAGCTATTGGTTAGAGATAAGCAACCTGATCTTTGGCACTGTCTCAAAGCCAGCCCTTTTTCAACCTTATGTGCTCTTTTTGGAGTCTGTCCCACCTGTCATGCCCTGTTTCTCAGTGTATTCTCTGTTCTTGTGATTCATAGCTGTTGCTCTTTTCCAGAATAACCTCATAATATTAATTGGGTAGAGGCACATATTTCCCTCTCTCCCTTTTAAATTTCGCAGTAAAGGATTTGTTTTCTTTTGTCTTACTTCTGAGAGGGACTTTCGTCTGCTCTGAAAGCTGCTTTGAAAGATCTTCCTTTCGTTTGAGGAATAGCAGCCTGTTGAAGCAGCTTGTGCCTGTTGAAACTGCCAGCTTTTAGTTATAAAGTATCAGGGATGATGAAGAGGGGAGTTCCTTAGAGATGTTTATAATTGTGGTTCACCTCTTCTGACTATGCCCCTCCTTCCACTAGACTCCAGGTAGTAGTAGACTGCCTTTTTGAAATCTCAACAAGAAGGAAAGACGATTGATTCCTCTCGTGTCTCTTGAACGTTATTAAATTATTCAGTACAGATGGAAGATTACTTGAGTAAGTAGCCAAGACAGAGCTATTCATGTTCAGGGTATTATTTGGTGCAGGGTATTATTTGGACTTCTTTTAAGGCTCCTTATTTTGTGGAAAGGCTTTTGCTTTTATCCCTTTCATCTTCGTATGTTATATATCATGTAGTTTGTGAATTGTTTCAGTTGGGGGCTTCTTTTCTGTGAAGTACAGAACACGCTTTTGTCATGCAAGAGAAAGAAATGTTTTCATAGGAGAGGTAGGTACAAACCCTGAGGTAGAGAAAAGAGTACTCCACAGTGAAAACATTTAAGAGTGGTTCAATAATGTAGTCACTAAACAGTGACTGAACTTCAGGATACTGTTCAGATATCAGATGTGGCAGAAGTTGAAGTGCATCTCTCAAACAAACCCAGAGGATTCCAATTTTAGGTATTTGGGACAGAAAACTTTGTCAGAAACCTCCTAAAATTGCTTCAATCTTGAAATCTGATCTTGAAATCTAGAATTTAGACAACTTAATATGAAAACTGCTCTGAAGATTTTGCATTTAAAAAGTCTAGTATTACTGCTCACCATCTTTCTATCAGAGGTGTTGCACACCAGAAGTCCTGTCTTTCATTTACAGCACAGTCGTCTTTGAATCCTTAGAAGAGCTAGACTGAGATCAAACTATTCTTTACTCTTATCAAGGAAGCATTTGAGTTTTATTCCAAATGGCACAATTTCATTTAGATCAACTGCAAAATAGTTTTAATCAACTAGGTATTTTTATAGTGAGCAATATTTTTTTCTTTTTTAAACACTTTGGTAGCTACCTCCCAAAAGAGAGTCTTTTCCCACCATTCTAGGCTGAGAAAAAGCAATTAGAGTAGTCAGTACAGTGAGACATCTGGAAGATGTCAGTTCCAAAGAAAAAGAGAGGAGCAATAAGATATGATCTGATTTTTGCCTTTTCAAAAAGGTCGGGAAAAGGCAAATTTCGGTCAGAATTGTTTTGTACTCCTTCACTCAAAAAATCTCCAACATCAAAAGTAAAGGTACAAAATGCTCCACAACTTGAAGCTAAAGCTAAGCGTTTGTTTGTTTGTTTGTTTGTTTCTTCAAAACCCCAACTTATAGGATAGAAGAGAAAAGCCTTCCTGCGCTTGGGAGTCAAGAGTCCTTGTCCGTTTAATTATTACAATGTTGTCTGATATTTCAACCGTTCTGGAGCTGGGGTCTCATTATTAACATGAACAGACTTACTTTATGAAATTCTACCTGTGATACCAATCTTCAGAATTTTCAGGGATTTGCTTCTGTGATTTCCTCTTCAAAGAAAAATAGATCAGCACTGTGAAAATCTACTCCATTCACTAGTCTGGAGTAGGATGATTTTGCCATTCCGTGGCATGAATTAAGTTTTATTGAATAAAATGAACAACATGGCAACAGATTTCACAAAGAAGGTTTATAAGAGGCTAGGAATTTGTCATGGAATACCTTACTATAAATTAGATTAACATAACTATTCCTAGATTTCTCAGGTCATGAATCGTTCTATAGAATTGCTAGATATGAAGCAGTTGAAGAATATTTTGGATCCTGTGGCATGTGATATGTATGTTTTTCCTATTTTCCTAAATTTTGGAGCCATTCAAGGGTGATAGGACAAGTAACTGTAATTCTGATTTGTATCAGAATGACCTTTATAGAGCTGATTTACAGATCGAAGTGACATTTAGAGAGTGGAGTAAGATTGTGAATTTTCTTGTGCTAATTCAAATCCAGATGCACAGAGTACAGACCTGTCTTGTAAGTCATCCCTGAGGAACTGGAGGGTCTCTCAGCAGTACTACAGTCTCTCAGATCTTCTATATCAAATATTTGTTGCAGGAGAAAAAACCCACTGCAGTGCTAAATATAGTCCTAGGTGGACAGCAAATCTAGGCACTTCCTAATAACACTTGAGAGGTTCTTCTGCAACTTTCTTGAAATGTGATACTCAAAAACTGGGTGCTCTTCTCTAGCAAGGCCTTATAAAGGCAAACTTGACTGCAGGGATTACTTTCATACTTAGGCAATCGGTCTGTTTACATATCCAGACCTATGTTAGCTTTTCTTTCTGTAATTGCCTCTCTCTCTAGTTCAACTCAGGATTCAAGATGTTCTCCAGCCTAGCTCACCATTCTTTGTGCGGCATGCGTGCAGCCAATTATTTCTAGCCAATTATGGTTAGCTATAGTACATGGTACTTGCCTTTATTAAGTTGTGTCCTGCTTATTTCATATTATAGCTCTAGCTGGCCAAGGACTTTTGGAGGACAGATTTCAAATTCTTCTTCTTGGCAAGCTCACCTCTTTTCATGCCCCAAACTTAGTGTCTGAAGATGCAGCAGAAGTACTCTCTGTATTCCTTTATCTTCAGTCATTAAAGCAAGTTTGGAATTGTAGCAAACCTGGGAGAGTCCGCTAGGGAATCCTTTAATACAGTCTTCCACTTAGACTCTGAACCATTCATATTCACAAAGTGGCCTATGCCTATCGTTTTTCCATTAATCACATGGTCACATTAAAGTAAATGTGCGTACACTAAGTGGCTTCAATTTTGTTATTCAAGTCCCTCCAGCTTCATTTTTAAACCGTTTTTAGAACGCAAGGTGTCCTCTCACCCAAACAGGGAAATGAGGCCATTAAAACATATGTGAAATGCTTAAGTGAATAGCTAGGGGAATCTTATTTTTGGAGGTGACGTAATGGGGTGGGGGGATGGAGTTTGAGTCTTGCTTACAGATTGTGTAGTGATCTGGAATCTTAAAAATTCCTCAGATCCTGAAGGAAGTTGTCTGCCTTACAGAGCTATGTTTTTCTATTGAATAACACTGGGGTTTTTTAAATGAAAAATTAAACAAGGCTCCCTTCTTTCTGGATTGGAATTTTAAGGCTGGAGTATTGCATTTGTTGGCACTAGACTTCTCTTTACAATGGAAGCCAAATAACCTATAATATGTACATAGCTATTTATATCCTTGTTGTTTCTTCCCCAACTTTTTTTCCTTCCTTTCTTCCTCTCTGCCCTCTTCCACCTCCCCCAGGATCTTGGCTTGGCCCAGATTTCTGCCACCAACACAAAGACACCAGTCCCTTTGGGATCCCAGGCACATCAGATCTACAGGATGATGTGTGCAAAAGGCTATGCCCTGAAAGACTTCTCAGCTGTGTTCCAGTTTTTACGTGAGGAGGAAACCTTGTGAGCTGCCCTTCAGCAATGGACATGATAGCAAAGCACTTTTTTTTGTTTTTATCCTTATAGCTCCTTTGAGAAGAATGTGGGTTTAATCAAATACTGTGCAACGTGATCCCATACAGACTAGTCATCTTTGTTTGTCTAGATCACAGCAAACTCCAGGATTTTTTCATCAGTTCTTGAAAAAGCAAGTCAGGGGAAGGGGGTTGGTTGGCAATTAGCCAGACAGGGATTTCCTTTTTTTAAGAACCATCAAAGGTTTTTCCAATAAAGGCAATAAATAAAGTAAATATTTTTTTTAATAAATGCTTGATTGTTTGCAAATAAAATAACTGACATTATGGCTACAAACTTAGGAGCATCTTGAATAGTAAGGGGAAGATATATAGTGATTTAATGATATATAGTGGTTTATTAAAATTAAAAGTGAATTATTTATGGAAAAAGGGAAGATCTGTTCAATGAAGAAACATAGCTTGAGAAGGAATTTTTTTTTCCTTGGGCCTACTAGCTGTGGGTTGATCAGTAGTGAATTTTTCCTGGGATTCAGGTTGCAGATTTAAGTTTATAGTTATGTAACTAAGGAAATGCTGTTACAGCATGTTTAACTGATAGACTTAGTTAAAGTAGCATAATATGTGTGTCCCTCTTGTAAAGTTCTATTATTGTATTTTGCTAACCCAATTTTATATTTTCTTCCTGTATGCTGCCACACATTTTCAGAACTCAAGAGTGACGCCTACTAGAAGCTCTAACAGAGGGTGCATTTGCTTTAGATAATTACTGCAGTATTATAAACCTAAGGAAACCCCATTATTTTGAAAAGAAATAAAAATCTATACTGGTAAATACTTGCTATATGATTATTTGCTTTTTGTTTTGATGCACTCTTGTACACACACAATTAAAAAAAGATTTAGTACAAGCTTGTAGTTAATTTGCTTGGTTTTCTGTAGATTGTTTTGCAAAAGCAAGGTCTTGAAGAGCTCTTATTGTGAAATAAATAAGATAATATATTTGCATATATATTTCGTTAATCAAACGGTCACTCCTTGAACTTGCAAGTGTACCTGTGCACACTTAGTTTTATGACTATGAGTAATCCCATTGAGTTCACTGGAACTACTGATGTCCACACTTATTTGCGGGATCTGGGGCTTAATGGCCACTTATGCATTTTACATTCCTATTTTTTTGAATTTTGGTTGTATGACAGCACATGTTATATATGCACATTCAGATAGCAGCGTTGTGTGCTTGAATTAGCTCAAGAATTATGTGAATAATCTTCTGAGAACTTGGACGTTAGCTTTTAACACGTTAGTAAAGTTATACAAAAGTCATTAAACAATACTGGTCGATCAGTTCTCCTTTCAGTTTGTTCTGAAAACAATATATCAATTTCTAGGTTATTCAGGGATTTGGGATCATTAATGTTGTGTATGAGTATAGGACTACTGGTAGCAAATTACTTTTTTAAAATTGTTCATCTTTTCACAAAACTACTGTTTCTGCAGGATTGTATTCATTCCTTGAAATCAGATAAAAAGGTGCAATAAATATTACTGAAGTTGCAAAGTCACCCACTCAGGTGCTAGAAAGCACAGAAGTGTTGGAACCATTGTTATAGCTGAGTGGTTCAACATTGAGTTACATCATCACATACTATTATTTTTTTCCTATGGAACTCCTATCTCATATAATGCAAAGGATGGACCTAGTCTCATAATGAATTTGGGGCCATGTAGTGAAGGATGTTTTTGCCTGTAGGACCCTTGTTCATTTGGACATTGTCTAGTGAATGAGGTAAGGAACTGCAGAAGAGGCCTGTTTAAGTTATCTTCTCTATATTTGGCTTGGAGAGCTGGTTGGCATTAGCAGGACTGCTGAGAGGTGCTTCCTTCTAGTGTCCAACTCAGCCTGGAGCAGCTAAGAGCTGTCACTATGACTGTGTTTGCCTGTAACCCCGGGCTTGCAGGAAGCATAATCGTTTGCTTTTTGAAGATGATGTGCGCACACGCATAAATGCTGGGGCTGAGGGTGAGCATGCTCAGTGAGACAGACTCTTTGAAGATTTTAGCTTCTGAAATCATAAAGTTTCAGTTAAGCATGTGAAAGTTTGTTGTTATTTTTATTTTTCTCCCAAAGGTTTTGTACTTTAGGCAAATTTGAACAGACTTTCCTGGGGAAACATAAGGCTCATTTCTTCTCCACCACTACCTCTGATCAAATTTTTAAGTACCTACTCCAAAGCATAGGGATGCTCAAGCTGCTGTAAAGGCTGCCAGATGTAATTTTGGCAAACCAACAAAATGTTCTCTGGTCTCCTTCTTGGAGGAGGGTTTTGGCTTAAATTAAAAACAAGAAACAAAAAACCCTAGCTTGAGGGCAGACATCCAGCATGTAAAATTTTAGACCAAGCAGTTAGTTCGACAAAGTCAGGAAACAACTCTTTTCAAAGTCTTATTATGGAAAGTGCCTTGAAACCTTTAATAACCTCCAATACCTGAAGCCAATAATACAATTCATATTAGAATACACATATTTTCCTAATTCTGCAGGAAATATTGTGTGACTGGATACATAATACCACCATGATGTGGAAGTGGTATTCACGCTAGCTACATCTATTCTGCATGTACATACGTATATGATGTATCTTTTGCTCTGCCTGGGGTATACTTCCTGTATATGGAAATTAAGCAAGTACTAAAACTATTGTCACTGCTGAAAACAGGTGTTGAAAACAGTAATTTGCTGAGCTGAACAGAAAGACTGTAAAATTGGTTGAATTTCTGCACTAATGACCTCCCAGTACATACACACAAATTAGGTGCAACAAATTAACTGCATATTTTGTAAACATCCCAAAGGGAAACTTGAGGTAACTTATTTTTAAATTAGTTTGAATGTTAAACTAGCCCTCCCATCATGCTTGCTTTGGAAACTCACCTATATCAAATACATCTATTGACCAACAGGAAAACATTGACGACTAATAAAAGTAGTGATGGTTTAAACAAATCCCAGGCAGCCTTCTCTCGTTTGTGATTCAGTATAACCTGTCTTAAGGAACTATTTTTGGTGGTCATTTAGCAGAGGAGGCCTTCTATTAAAACTACTGAGTACTATATTGCTTTAACTTTATTTATGGCTCTTACAAGCCTCAGGAGGAAGAGGAGGCATTCTGACCAAGTAAAACTATTACACATGATATTCTGGCTCTGTTTTAATCAGTGGGATTTTTGCCATCAACTGCAATACTGCCAAGATTTCTTAGTGTTTTTTTGAATGACCATGCAGTTCCAGCGCAGATGCGGCCAAGATGTAGATCCTGAATAGTTCAAGTGCATCTCTCAGGCAGGGTTTGTGCCGTGTTACTGGCATCAGGATTATGAATGGTTGGGATGGTGATTGTGAGAGGAAGGGAGCCAGCAGGAGCTGCTGAAGTTGATATTGCTGGTCTCTATCCCAGCCTCATCCCACAATGATTGATAGAGCTGTTGGAGGAGACAGAATAGCTGTTGTCATTCCCTGCTTGGGAACAGAGCTGCATCTTCTCAGCTGTCTAAATCTTATGGCTCTTGCTCACATGAAGATTTTATTTAATCGTTTCTGGAGCAGGAAGACTGGGTCTGTCCCTGGAGCAGGCAAAGGAGGGCTACTGTCACCCAAGGGCTACTGTATTTGTACAGTAGTTATATTTCTGTGCTTTTGGTCTACCATCTTGATTTGAAAGACCAGCACTATCCAGAAACAGCTCTGAGGCTTTTAACTTGATTGGTAGTGATACCTGTTGCTTTTGATTTGTCTGCACGTCTTCAGCATTGTTTTCTGCTCCCCCATATAAGAAACGGATGTAATTTAACTTTGCTCAAGAAAACGTGAGAATATTGCCTGTCTTTACAACATGAGGCTGTCTAATAAGTTGTGGCAACATTGCTGCAATTTAGAAACCTCTGTTGTGTTTTCTTGGTGCACTGAAGCAACATGTGGAGCTAGGGTCCCCTCCAGGATTTCAGATTTATGATCTGACCCTCTTAAAGTCAGGGGAAGCCTTTTTATTCACTTCATTATCAAGTTCATTAGAACTCTTACTGCAAGCTATGCAAAATTGAAAAGTAGTGGCACTAGCTTAGTTAATGTCTGCAAATTAGAATAAACACTGCTTCTGAAAAGCTCCAACTTACAATAGCAGAGATGTCTTTGCCATTCATTGCAACAGTGTAATGGTTGTATGGGCTTTAAAGACTGCTGATATGTTAAGGATTTGTTGCTTTCCATGTATGATTTATCACAGCCTGTCCTGCTTGCCAGCACAGTCCCACATTAATTTTTTTCCAATAAGTAATCGCAAGAAATTACAAAGTTTTTTTTTAGGGGGACAGAGAATTAATATTGTTATGGTTGGTTTGTTCAATAGATGTATGGCTTGGAACTAGGCAGATATATGGCAGTGTGGGATTTTTTATTTGGTTGATTTGGGATTTTTTGCATTCATCATGGACCTTGAGCTCTTGGGGTAAATTGAAACGGGTGCGTAAACCTTTTAAAAGTACTAAATGTCTCTTTATAACCACTATGTAATTAAAAGCAGTCTGACTCTTCTTTCTGCATTTACACCTAACTCTTCCTTTTGACCTTGCCCCTGAGACAGGACTTGATTTTCATTTGAGGTCAGAGATAACTCAAGCTATTTCTTCGTTTAGTTTTACCGAGCCTCCATTGGTGATGACAGGGTTCTGTTTGTTAGAGTAAATGTTAGTTATGTCTGGAAATAATTTATATGCTAACATGTGTTTTATGAAGTTCATTGATTTCAGAAAGACTCGGAGCACTGGACAAATACAACTGAAATATAACTGATATAAAGGTAAGTTTGCTTGTACTTGAAATGTAGCTACCCTGGAAAGAAATGCAAATAATGTTACAGTACGGATACAACAATACAAAGTGTTACTTGTTGTGTTCACAGAAATGGCTGTCTTCTGGTTTGAGATTCATGACCAAACTAGCTCAGATTTACTCCCTTACAGCTCTAACAGGTATAGGGAAGCAAGTGATCCAGAAAGTAACATAAAGAATACTTCTCAAAATCTCATTGTGTACTTTGTTCTTAGTGCTTGGTCCTCACTTTCTTCCAAATGAATTAGTGTTAACTGGGCTGTAATAACTGGTTGCAGACATACCTAAGCTGGCTGTAAGCTAGCTTGCTTGCACATCTGCAGTTCTCTTAGTCCCAGGGACATTCCTGGGAAGCTGGGTAAATACTTGGGCAGCTAGCCTGAACAGAGAGCTGTGTAGATGGGCTGTTTCCAGTACCCAAACTGGCTAGTGTGTGGCTAGGAACAGTAGGCCATTTTTGCATTGCAGTCATCACACATGTTCTTCCGTGGCTATAAAGCCTGGAAGCTTTTAATGACAAATATTTAGTAGGCTAACGCATTGGATATTGTTGCTGGATCTGTTTTATTTGGCGGTCGGTGTCCTGTTATTTCTTCCTGTTTGTACAATGCCTAAGACAGGTCCCCTGCTTGATTGTTTGGTTGATAGTTCGTAGCTTCATTCACAATCTCTCTTGGAATTCACACCATCGTGTCCTCTTTCAGATCCCTACCTCCCGTCGTATTCCTGACATATTCTGTATATCCTTACATACCAAACTGATGCGTATTCAGCTAGGCATTCTCTTCAGCCCCACTCCTCTCCACAAACATCAATGAAAAACATGTTGTCTGGCCTGGGAGTAGTGATTTCCAGTGTCTCTATGTGTGTATGTCTGTATCTATAGCTATATTTCTATGTATGACAGAATTTTGCAGTTTAAAGATTTGTTATACGTTACCTTTAACTGTGATGCAAATTCTTGGTGTTATTTAATAGTGTCAGGCAGGCCAATCTGCAGTCTACAAAAAAGACTTAGCT